GTCCAACACGAGTCTAACACGAGTCCAACACGAGTCCAACATGAAGCTATATTAGCTATATTAATTTTGGTTTCTTTAAACACATAATTGTTAAAATCTGTCTAAAATAAGGTGTTAAATGTGACATTGTGTATATTCAGTGTGGACGGGGACCTGAGGAGTTTTAATAGTTTGTTTCTCTCCATAATTCCAGAAAGTAGAAGAAAGTTTTCTTCACATTTCAAAGACCAAGATTTGGCAAATAATGAGCATTTATTTCCCGGTATTTCAGTATTTTTCGACAGCCTTGGTGAGCAGGATACTGACACTGCTGCAAACCCTCAGCCACTAAACGGTCCTTTATAGGTTGTCGAGACTTTGTACGCTGCTTATTCCCGGAAAACAAAGTTCAATAAAGCCTAAAAGGGGAATTTGGAATTGGAAAGAAGGTTAATTTCTTTAAATGTGTCAGTTTTTTCTTCATAATAATTCTGCTTTTCTTGTGAGAAATCCTCCTGGTTGCTCTGACAACTTTATATATTTTTTATTTGCTTTAGTTTCACTCTCATTTATGGAGTGGATCTGGTTTGAAATTATGTTTGAACTCGCTTTAAAAAGTCTCGGATTCCACGCACAGAGACCTGCAGTCACCCTGTCTAATTACAAGTGGTGTTTTCTGTCACGGCTGTCTGTGTAATCATTACACTTAATCACGATCCTGCAGCTTAAAACCACAACCGCCGCCGCTGCCGCACAGTCTGTAATAATGCAGTCATAAATATATTCACAGCAAATATAATTAGGACGAACGGAGACAGGAGAGGGGAGAGGAGGAGGAGGAGGAGGAGGAGGAGGAGGAGGAGAGAAACGAAGCAAAATGATGTTTTATCAGGGATGAAGTGAAACTAACGGAGGGGACTAAGGAGGAAAATGAGCAAAGAAGTAAAGAGAGGATTTAAGGATATTAGTAAAGATGAGGAGAGGTGTGATGGAGAAAAAAGAGAGGTTGAGGAAGAGAAGAGCTTGTTTCTAGAAGAGTTTTACAGCAAATATTTCCAGTTTATAGTTCCACACATACTGTAACCCCCCCAAATCTCAAGTTTCCCTCAAACACAAGTGGAAGAGACAAGCTGCAAATCCCCTAAACCGAGACAAAAAGAGGGAAACAAAAGATGGAAGATGTGGAAGTCATCTCAACAGAAGATACGAGAGGAGAAGAGGATGAGGAAGATGGGGGGTCACAGATCTGGTTGGTTGTGCGTTATCATGAAGTGGAGATTTATTCCAGCGTGTTCCCTCATCTCCTGCGACCTGTCGACCCCCCGCTCATTAGCATAGAAACCACATTCCCCCGCTGCTGATTGGACCGGGACGGACGAGACCAGGATGTAAAAGGAGGAAGTGTGTGTGTGTGTGTGTGTGTGTGTGTGTGTGTCATCATAATAAGCAGAAGCATTTCCAATCAAAGCAGGTAATTCTTCCTCCTGCTCACTCGCCCGCCGTCCGCCTCTTGTTGTGTGTGTGTGTGTGTGTTTGTCCATTAGTGCAGAGCCATCTGAATGCCCCCACGCACAAATATTTAGAAAAATGTCCAGATTACATCCCAAGCCTCTCCGCCCACTCCTCACCCAGCCGCTGACCTCCGAGTGTGAGTCTGAAAGCCAGAACCGCCTGTGGCTGCACACAACTCATTAGTGGGTTTGTTTTTTTTTTCAGATTTGTGATAATATAGAAATGTTAGCAGCTCGGTGTTCTTCCTGCAGTGACACTGAGTGTTTCAGATCTGCAACCTCTACGGTTACGGTTATAGAGAGACGGTGGTCGTTGGGAGGAGTTGGGTTTTCCTACGTCGATATTAAGGCTCAGATTATAGAAATAATCTCTAACCTCTGCGCCCTACTGGGCACTCGGACATGTTTCTGGTGGAGTTGCCTGCACCCTTCAATACACCCAACATCTCCATATGTCTGCGCTCTAAAAGGTTAGTTATGGACAGGGGCACTGACTTACGCAGGGCTCTCATGAATGTGTTTCTCAGCTTTCCAGTCATAATTTATGTAATTCCAACTCTGTTTATGGACCCCAGTATGCAGAAATATTCACATACACTAGAATTACTACAATAAACTACATGAGATTAGCATAAAGTGTCTGTAAAAGGATCCCTTTGACAATGGACATTTCCTCTTTTGACGACAGGTTTCTTTGTTTCTTGTTTTCCATTCATTCAATTATCCAATAAAAAAGTTTAAAAAAAACAACCCAAATTAATCTTTCTGTAATTATAAAGAAGGTTAATCACTGTTGTGATTCTAACAGTGAAGACCAGAAGTGGTGGTTGATACCTGCTCTCTCCATGTGGAGATCCTGACATGATGAATCCACTTTAAAAGCTTGTGTCCTGTATTGATTTCACCTGTTAACTCCTCTTCGGTCCTGAGGAGGAGGAGGCAGATTAGAGGGATTTGAAGCCTTCGCATGTTGAGACATGGACTGTAAAAAAGGGGATTTAAGTCAGTGTTGGTGTTAACTGAAGGTCCTTCGCGTACTGTGACCTTACAGTGTATTTACATCCATTAAAAGGAAGATTCTGCTTGTTCTACTTTTGGATATGAATTGTTAAGCAGAGTCCATCTGTTTGGGTGGATGGTCTTCACGTTAATGTTGCCTTCAGGATGAGCTGTAATCCTCATCGTCACCTTCAGGACAGAATTTCTATTAGACCAACACTTTGTTCTGTGACCTGCACATGTACTTTGTGTGTATTGCTAATTATGATAACACACTAAACTGAAATGGTGAATATAATAAACATACCTGCTCACACATTCATTAACATGTTTAGCATTTGGCTCGGCCTCGCAGAGATCCCAGTGTGGCTGTAGACTCTTATTTTGAAACAGCTGGGGAGGCAGGATGGCCTGGAGGTGAAAGTGCAACCGAAAAGGTCGCTGGTTCGATTCTGTTTATAGAGACTTGAGTGAAACCTGAAGGTTGAGGTTCAATTGGGTATTTTAATTCTGAAGGATATGCAGTCATGGATTTAACTGAAATCCCAGACGTTTTCCGTTCTGTGTTTCTTAAACTGCGGATCACGACCCAGACTGAGGTCGAGGGACTCTCTGGAGGGTTGACGCTTCAGAAAGGAAACAGGTTTGTCTCAATTAGTCTCCATCCCAGAGAGAGAAAGTGTTTCCCTCTCATCTGGGTCCCAGGCTGAGAACGCTTGAAAATCCTTGGAATTACCCATAATCCTTTATTCCAGCGAGCATTTGCCCTTTGCTTTGACCTGCCTCGGAGCAGTTGAAGAGTTTTGTTCAGAAATGAGAAATCTGCTGTTTGAAAAACTTCAGTCTTCCTCCAGCAGGATGATTGATAGCACAGAGGAAAGATGGAGCCCTCTGAAGGGCCGTGACTGACAGTTACTGCTCACTGCGTTTTATACCCAAAAATTATTTTAATTTTCAGAGAATTCAAAGGAGTTTTGTAGGTTTTCAGCTTATTTTAATTTTCTGATTTTGCCATTTTTGAAAAGGTAAACTTGCTTTTTGTTCTAGTTCTTAAAAAAGGTGTAACACTGGAAATAGGAGTGTAATCTGACTGACATTGGGTCTCTTGGCTGTGTTGAAATATTACAACAAATACAGAGACAGACTTTTAGTAATAATATCTGGTTTTATTTTCTTCTAAATATCCTCTCTTTAAAATACAGAT